CCCGACACTGACGCCTGCCGTCTTTTTAAGTGTGCGCATGTCCTCCCCGTGGGGTCGCATGGGTTTTTTTTCCAGGCCCTCCGGTTTTTCCCGTCCACATTTAGGATCAACATCACGCGTTTAAGGGTGTTTGGCTGCTGTAGAGTTCCACGTGATGATAAGCCACAGTGTCGAGCTGTCATTTGCTTCTGAGAGCTACACAGCTCAGTGGGTAGGCCTTACTCCTGGTGCAATAAAATAAAAAGTGAACAGCTTGTGTTTCGTTTAAACAGCGGCGAGTGCGAGCCCTGGGAGGGTTGACCACACCGCCCCCCCCCCCCCCCCCCTGCGAGCTGACTTGCAGGGGGAGGGCGGAGGCCGGGGGAGCGAGGGGTCAGCGGTTCAAGTGCCGTCCCCGCCGTGGGGAAGATTCTGCCAAAAGCGCAGTCGGACAACAAGCTGCGGCGTAGATCGCCCTGAAAAACCATTCGTCAACTCCGTGACAACGTCATGAGCCCCAATCACAGAGCAGCGAGCGGCGTCGCTTCAGCGTAGCGTTTTTCGCGAGTCGTGCCGTACGCAGCTGCCGCGATGATGATGATGCTCGTTTGGGTTTGTAGCGAACCACGAACGCGTCGGGGAGGTTGTCACGGTGACGATAACAACGCAGGCCTCCCCCCCCCCCCCTCTAGCTGTCACAGGGGTTCATCGCCCGAAGTGGAGATGCCCCCTCGCAGCCAGGCCACTCCGTAGCGTGGGCCACAAGCCAGGACATAACATTTAGCGCTAGGAGGGGGCGATGGACGGGGGGGGCGGGGGCGAGGGGTAACACAGAGTGACACCAGCAGGACGGATTCTAATCCCGCAAAACTCCCATTAGCCGGGTTGGCTACGGACGGTGCGCGAAAGAGGTTCAACATACGCACAAACATACGTGCATACGGGCGCAGTGCGATTCTGATGTAATCACTGTGAAATTCTAATCCTGCGCCTCCGATTAGTGCGGTTGGCTACATACGGTGCCAAAGAAGTTCAACATACATACGAGCGCAGTCCGATTCTAACACAAGTGCGGTGCGATTCTGACCTCGGCACCTCCGATTGGTGCGGTCGGCTACGACGTACGGTGTGCGAAAGAAGCTCCACGCACATTAGTACAATAAATTAGCCAAAAGCCAACCATGCTCGCCCTTTCCCGGTAACAACCTCCACGGCCACCTTTACCTCCGCAAGCGCCCACAACGCTCTCTCAAGATGAGGTCCGCCCGATAAGCGGCGACGATTTATTTTAAGTGGCGGACTTCCCGGGGCGTTTAATCGCCGACCACTTTTAGGAGGAACACCATCCGGGAGCGGAACGCCCGCACGGACCCGAGCGACGGGCAACGGCGGGTCGCGTTAAGTTATTCGACGGAACAAAAACCCCGGAGCGCGCTCTCTCGCGAGGGCGCTGACGAGCTGGATGAATGGAGGGATGATGCCCACGCGGCGATGCGAGGCTCGTAAAGTGGGGCGGCCCGTGCGAAAGCTGTCTGCGGCCGTACAACCTGGTTGTTTCAGTTTAAGCTGCCCTGGATTCATCGTCGTCGTCATAATCATCGATCAGGCACGGTCAATCCGCTGCTGGATGAAGGCCTGTTCAGAACGACTGGACACCTGCGAATAAGAGCGTCGGACGGAGTCCTCCACTACAAATAAAGATTCCGATTCTGAACTGCCCCCGCCGCCACCTCTGCCGCCCCCTTATGAGCCTTTGAGGCTGCACAAAGGCAATAGACCCCCTGCAACTCCAATCCACCCCCACCCCCCCCCCCCAATGCCACCGCTTGCCAAAGGTCTAAGCCGTAGCCACCGCCGCCACTGCCCCGGCGGTCAACTCGTACGCAGGGGATATTTTGGAGGCATTTAACGGCGCGCAGATCCATCGACTGGGATTGCCTCCCGTGGCCCTGTGTTGCGCGCGCCACGCGAAAAATCGACTGTTGGCGATTTACGGTAATTATACGGTCACGCGGGCCATTTAGACTCACGGAGCGGAACAAATTGTATGACCGGGAACGGACGGAGGAACAATACAAACGAGGGACGGCGTGAACGTGCCGACCCTTGGATCACAAAACACACAAAAAAAAGACAACAAAGAACATCTGACAAAAGTTCGGTCATCTCGGTAGTCATCCTACTCGCCACCCTTCCACGTCTCCACCAACCGCCCTCCCCGGTTCCCTGCCGCCACCGTCACCGCCACCTCCTCCTCCTCATCGTAGCGACGGCCACAAACGACCGACCGAATGAACGCGGCGCAAACACGACTGCTGGCGAAGGGAAAAAGCTCGCAGAGCTATAAAGTGGAATTACGCCGCTCTGCCTCGCTGGCCATATGCGCAATGAGATCACAAGAAGATTGCCGGCGATCACGCCGCTGGCGCGGAATTGTGGCGACAGGAGGAGGAAGGGCACACCACGGGCTCCGTCCGTCCTATCGCGACTGTCTTGCGTTTTGCCGGGGGGGTCCACGGCCGGCCGTTGCCAGGAGGGGGTGGGGGGGGAGGCCCGACCGGGTGCCAACGGAGGGGTGAGTGGCAAATGAGGCGAGGGAAACCGCGGCGGGGAGAGACATCGACGACTCGGCAGTTGTCGAGGCGATTCGGAGCGACTCGCGCCGACGCGACACGGGCAGGGCCTCGTTCGCACTTTTTTTTTTTCAACGTTAACTCCGACTCCGAAATGAACAGTTCGGTCGAACGGCCATCGGCGGGCGGGCGGGCGGGGATCGATTGATCGGAGCGCAGCTGTAGCGCCGCAGCGGTGCGCGGCGGCGAGGCGGGGCCGTCAACGTCGTTGGCTCGCGGATTTGAATTCAATAAACGCCGCTGGAGTGGGTGTTGGACGCGGGAATCAAGGAAACGCTCTGTTGTCGTGATTGCAGCGCAGTGGCGAGGCTGCAGTAGAAAGTGGTAGAAAACAATATTTATCAATGACACTGCTCTGCGAAGCATTTCTTTTTTTTTATATATACAAGTTCGTTTTGCAAGAACTCTAAGGATGCTTACGCACAAAGACAAAGATCCACCGCCCCCCCTTTAGCCTTAACAAACTGTTGGGGCAAGTGCTGTTAGCGAGTAGTACCTATGAAGGCCAGCACAGCACACGAGGGGGTGGGTGGCCAGCACGACGCCCGGCCGCCTTTGTCTCCCCCACGGCGATGACTTTACACACCGCACCAGGTACTCATTTGAGGCCGAGTCGACCTAGAGGAGGCCCAGGACCGGTGCAGATAATCGTCACCGTGGTTGGCCGGTGAGCAGGAATCGAACTCGGCTCGCGGGTTTGTAGCGCAGCGCAGAAATGCACAAACGTGTGCGTGTGTTGAAAGTGTCGCGGCACTTGCAACACACCACCCCACATACACACGTCACTAAACGATGCGAATACCCTCATTCCGGTCTGCATGAGAAGCCTACAAAACTCTGCCACTGCAACACCGTTAGTGGGCGACGTTTCGGGCGACGGCCCTTTTTCACAGCCCGTAGAGGCGCCAGGAAGGGGTAGGTAGCGCGTTCTTGACGACGCACGCGTTCAGCTCTTCGTTGTTGTTGTTTGTTTGTGCAGCACCACTACCGACGCAGCGAATCAGGTCATCCTCGCAGCAGCAGCAGCAGCGGCTTTTTGCTCACGATCAAACAAAAAGACGGTCACCACTGCATCACGCGGCGCGTTCAGATGTGCTTCTGCGGCCGTCTGAAACGACCTTCCTTCCGATATTAGGGAGCCACTGGGATCTATGCACCGTGCAATGTAAATTGAAAACTAATTTCTTTTGAACTGTCTTTTGCATTTAGTTTCTAGTCCTTCCACTGCACCTCCGATTGGCTACGTACGGCGCGGAAGAAGTTCAACTATGCATACCGAATAATTCGTGCCAAAGCAAAACGGACGTCAGTTATCCCGAAAACGAAATTCCGTGCGCGATGCGAACGAACCGTAACGGTGACGGCGTGAGAAGGGCACACTGCGTCACAGAACGGACGTTACTGCGTTACAAATCTCTCCGCATCGCGTTCCGCGCTCCCGAACGGCGAGTCGCTCGTTGTTAAACATTAACGCCGGCACGGAAGCAGAGAAGACCCGGGTGTTAGACACATTAAAAACGCAACTTTTTATTTGACCAGGTTAGAGGCTTCACCGAGCTACGTAGCTCGGCAAAGTGGCTCAACATCGTCGTGCAGGAAATTTCTAGCAGCCAAATACTCTCAACCAGCAAAAGGATTACAGGGACACAGGGACCAGCAAAGGGATACAAAGGCGTCGGAGGAAGAGGGAGACAGGAGTGACCGATGTAGAAGGGCAGTCGGGTTCTGAAAGGCAAGAATCTACGGTACACACACACACAACTCACACAAAGATCCCACCCTCCGTATGTGCTGTAACAGACTGACGGGGCAAGTGCTGTTAGCGAGTACCGATTAAGGTCGGCACGGCACACGGGGGGGGGGGGGGGGGGGGTTGCGTGGCGTGCACCACGCCCGGCCGCCTTTGTCTCACTCGTAGGGATGTTTACGCACGTGCGGTGCCGTGAGAGTTACTCAAACTCGGGTCGCCCGGTTTGCAGCGCAGCGCGCTCACCGCTACTACACCAGTTTCCCCATACACACAAACGCGCGCACGCACACGGATAAGCGGTGTCACATGCCGATGGAGGGATGGCAGAAGTGGCAGGGGTGGAGAGGGGTATGGTTGGCGCACCGTTGCGTTGCACTGCCAGCCCGCCCGCCAGTGGCTTGCCGCAGTTTCTTCCCGCACGTTAACATTTTTAAAACATTTTTTTTTTTTTCAATTGTCCACGCACCGGCGTTTACCGGGGTAAGGGGGACAAGCGATGTGGATCAAGACGACGGACGTTCAGTAAGAGGTGAACAACGAGGAGGAGAGAGGGCACAGAGAGGATGAGGTGACGACATGACGAGGGGGGAGGGCGACCAAAGACAGGAGGAGGGTCGCGACCCACGGCGGCGACCTACTGGTTGTTGTAACAGCTGAGGATCGGCTCCACGAAGCACAACTCCATCTCGGCACGAGGGGGGGGGGGGGGGTCCCGCAGGCCAACGGCAGACGGATGGTGCTCTCGCACGCGGGCTGGCGGGGTGGCGGGCTGGCAGGCGGTCGGTCGGTCGCTGCACAGCGAGGCCTTAAGGACGGCTGAACGAGGCCTGAAGGGCGTCAGTGTCCGTGCGTGTCGCCGCACATTCCCAGCTGGCGTGCGCGCGCACTCTCGCTTCCACCCCCCCCTCCACCGCTTTCGCCCGCGTCCCCTCTCTCTCGCACTCTCTGCGTCTATTTCTTGCTGCCTGGCACCTCTCTCTCCGCTCCCCCCCCCAATCGACTCTCTCTCTCTCTCTCCTCCTTCGGCTCCAGCGCCGCCGCTTCATATAGAGCGCCCTCATTGCGCATGCAACCAGGAAGTGGGGGTTTCATTCGTCGCCTGCCCCTGGGGTGCAGCGGGGGCGGCGCTTGATAGTCACACAGGTGTTGGTGTAGGCAGCCCCACGGCCCCCCCCCGCGTCTCTCCACCCCCAACTCACCCCTCCAGCAATGCCCCCCACCACCCCGGCCTCGAACCCCACGCAGCAAGCCACTTTCCACCACCGCCTCTCCTCCCACCTTCCGCGGCTCATCACTCATTCCCAAACGCCACCGCTGCCAGCGATCAACCGAGGCCGCTGCGAATGCCGCCAATGCTTCGAGCCGAGCCGTGCCGTTGCTACCGGTGGAGGTCTCTTCCCCACCGCCCCCCCCCCCGGCATGCTCCGTCGGCCGTGGTGGAGTTTTGCGTTTGGCCGCGTGCGGAAGGTCGACGCGAAACCGCCGCGGTGGACGAGGCGCTTAGGAAAATCGCGCTCCGCCGACGATGTTAGCCGCGGCGAGGAGAATCTGGACGAGCTCCGCCTCGGTTCGAATGCAAATAGAGTCGTCGCACGCCGCACACACCTGCTGCTTGTTACACACGTCCCGCGTGACACACAAAGACGGCAAAGCCCCGTATAGCCTTAACGAACTGCTGGGGCTAGTGCTATTACAGAGCACTATTTCAGAACGGCACAAGACACGATGGGGTGGGTGGGTGGCCGGCACCACGCCTGTCCACCTTTGTCTCCCGAGTGGCGATGTTTGCACACTGCACCAGTTACTCATGTGAGGCCGAGTCGACCTAGGAGTGGCCCAGAACCGTTGCAGATAATCACTGCTTTTGGCCGTGAGCAGCAATCGAAACCAGGTCACGGGGTTCATAAGCGGCGCGCTAACCACTGCGCCACCGCTCCCCACAGACACACAGACACGCACCTACCGTACTATACGACGCAATGCTCACTGCTTTAAAACGCATGGCGGCAAAGGAGAACAAAATGTGTGCTGCACTCCTGTCCAGATAAATACGGTCGTCCCGAGCAAGTGTGGCTGCACACACAACACAGCGCAGAGCTGATCCGTCAACTACCAATGCGGTGTCAACAACAACAACAACAACAACAAACAAACAGCCGCCACTCGGCACCAAGCGGCGGCGACGTCACCACGGCGCTTGCGCCAGGCTAGGTGCGCCGATGCAGCGTGACACGGGAAGCGGAACAGAGTCTCCTGTGACCGCATGCGTTGCCTTGGCTACGACCGCAAGGACCGTTTCTTTTACCTCTTTGCAGAGCTGCAGGGCACAGGGGCTTGAAGGCACGAAAATGCAACATGGTCAGAACCAAAAAGTCACTGTTCAAGATTGAATAGATCTGCTCGTTTGTGTTTGCTTTCAATTGCGCTTCCGCGGCCGTCTGGAACGCTCTTCCGATATTAGGAAGCCGCTCGTTTGGTGAGAACTGCTATACTCTTAGGTTTTTTCGGTAATTATTTATTTTATTTTTTACCTACGTGACTTTACCAAAAAAACCTAACAGTATGAATCCTTGCAGTCACGAAAGCTTCAAATCGAGAACTGCTATCTGTGTTTTAGTTTGTTGACCCCCCCCCCCCCCGCACTTCCGATTAGCGCGGTCGGCTACGTACGGCGCGCGAAAGAAGTTCACCACACACACGTAGATCAAGAGTTAATAGGCTTCCTGATATGAGCACGGTTATTATGAAGGGCTCAGGATAAGATGGGAGGTGATTTTAAAGTGCAGCAGTGCGTGGGAAGAGACAGGAGTGTTTGGGACATCAAGTGGAATATTTTTAGCGACATTAGTTGATGACGATGTTGATTATGTTATTTATGAATGTCATTATTACGCTAATTTAACCAGGAAAAGCTCTTTTCAAGAGGGTCCTGCCAGGTTTTTTTTTTGCAGAATGGGTAGAGGGCGATGTTTCTGCTGTGTGTGTGTGTAATCCCAATTGCAGTTATTTGCATGTTATTTTTCGACACCGTGATTATTTGGCCAATGCCCGTGACATCGTACGTGCAGGGAGGAAACAGGAGAGCTGAGCAAACCCACACAAGCGCAGGGGGAGAAACACACAAACCCCACATGGTAAAGTTGCTCAAGTGGGGCAATCGAACCTAGGCCCTTTGGTGCTGAGGAAGGCGCGTTACTACTGGGCCACCCAGCCGCTCGAATGAAAGCCGTGACAGATGAAGAGCGTCACGCGTTTCTTGAACCGAGCGTGGTTTTACGAGCTCAGGATAGGGGACGATGGGAGGGGAGAGGCGGGGAGAGATACCGTATTTACCTGCAGCGTGGCGAGCGGGTGGGCGAGCGAGTGTGGTTGCGAGTTGCGGTGTGTGGCGGTGGTTAGACACGGCGTGGATGGGGTGAAACAGTCGGTCTGGTAGCCCGACTCCCCCGACATGGGTGGAGGATTCATGATAATGTTTGTTGGGTTTGGGTCACGTCAATGTAAAATGTGTCGTGCATCCACCTCCACCCCGACACCAGTAAGGGTTGGTCACGTGGAACAAAACGTGCAAACTCGTGGGGTGGAGGCGGGTGGTACGACACTTTACATTTATTTTACCGTGAATCATGTTTGGTCGCGAGAGCTCTGCGCGTGAAATGGGTGCCCGGATAACAATGAGGGAAGTCTGCAGGACCAGTGTAACCACGGTTCGAGCGACAGAAGACGAGCCCTGACTAGCCGACGAGCGAGCGACGAGGGCGCGAATCTCCGACTCGCTCGTGGTTGGCTACGTACGGTGCGCGAAAGGCATTCAAACGTGTACATCGGCGAGCACCGGCGCCAACATGGAATCACCGAGTAAACGCGACGCGTTCGTCTCACCGGACGGGCGAGGGGGACCGGTGCCCACGGGAGGAACAGGGGCGCACGAGCGTGGCCAACAACAACGCCCATTGTGCGCTAGCGCCACTGACCGTAGATTATTAAACACGATGGTAAAAAGGTGCGGCCCTGCAAATTGCTTGCTCGCGTGCCACCGCTGCCAGAAGTTCCCCCCAGCCACTAGAGGCCGCTATATTCGCAATGATAAAATATTAAAAGAAAAAACTGAGCTGCGACGATTCAGTGAATGGGAGGGGGTCTTTGACCGTATACTCGGGGAGGGGAGTCTCAGCGTAGACAGTTTTTTTTTTTTAAATCGACTTCAAATCCTTTAAGAATTTTATATCAAAGATCGGGTGACACCAACGAGATCTACTTAATAACAAAGTCTGAGCACTTGAAACAATGGTGTAATCAGCCCGCCGCGTCAACGGGCCTCAAATAGAAATCGACTGCGCATCCGATATCGCGTGGAAACCAGGATCGCGGGTCAATGGCGATGGCCCGTTACATCACTGTTAAAGCCGCCTCCACTCCCGCCGGAGGGCTCAAACACGGGCAGACTCGCTCACGCACTCGTTCTTGTGCTCACTCGATCGCTTGCTGGCCGACTCTCTTACCTCACTCACTTCAGTACCGCCGACTCACTCACCGTTTTCCTCCCTCTCTCGATCACGCGTTCACTCTCGCCGATTCGCCCACTCAATCGGCCGTTCATTCGCTCGCATACTCACTCCGTCACTCGCTCGTTCACTAACCCGATCACTCGTTTACTCACCCCATCATTCGTTCATTCACCCGATCATTCGTTCATTCACCCGATCAATCTTTCACCAGCTCGAACGTACGTGCACACTCCCAACACATGCCAACACGAATATAATGAATCACTTTAAACTGCAAATTAATATTATGCAGTCTTCACACGCTCGTTCGTAAAAGCAATTCGATAATTGAAAATCGCACACGGAAGCAGTCAAAACAACGAATAAAATACTTGCACGACATTTAATTATTGAGAAAAACAACAGAGTAACATGTTAAATTGGAAGAGTTCCCTGCATCCCAAAACTGAATGGGGAGGAATTTGAAACCCATTTGAATTCACACTTATAATTACTGTCATCTACGATCACATTTCACCACTCCCCCGTATGTATATATATGCGAACGATAAAATAAAAGTCCGACAAACTCGCGCAATTTCGCACGGCCAATGACGAGTGAAGCTTTTTTTGCCGAGCAAAAACGAGACACCGCCACCGCCGCCGCACGCTATTTTAAGGCTTTTGCTCGAAAAACCACATCGGCACCACGAGCCACCTTGTTTGTCAGAGCTGGTTACGACCGTCGTTCGAGACTCTACTGCTGCTGCCGCTGCTGTGGTGGTGGTGGATGAGCCAAACACCTGACAGCACTCTTTGGCCAACCTGCATCACTTCCGGCGAAGGTAAATAAAGTCGCAATCTCACACGTGGTCGGCTTTCGCAAACCAATATCATTCATGGTGAAGATTTTATTTTCTTCTCTTTGGGTTAGATCGCGTAAGTATGGTTGTGTCGCCAACTCGCCAATTCTGGCAACAACAAAAAAATCGCCCCGTGATGCTGGATGTTGTGCTGGACTAGTAATGAATTGGCATGTTCTGTTTACATGACAAACCTTACTAATTGGCTGGTCGGGTGGTGGCGGGTTTAATGACACATTGATATTTATGCAATCTAAACCAAAAAACTTTTATCATGATTCGTCCACCCATGTTGGTGAGTCGGGCTACCAGAGTGACTATTTCACCCCATCCACACCGCGTCTGACCACCGCCACACTGCAGTTCACAACCACCCACCCACTCACCAGAGTGCAGGTCAATACGCATCACATCATTATCATTAAAATGAATATTGGTTGCGAAAGTCGACGGTTAAACAGAGGATAAAAACTGAGTGTTTTCAGATGTTGTCTTATGAACACGCCCAGGACGCAGCAAATTAGTTTTTTGTTGTCAAACTTTAAGCTTCTTTGGGTCTTTCGGTAAAGTCACGTAGATAGGTTCAAATTAGTAAAAATTTAAAAAACTA